TACCAGAGCTCCCAAGGCAAAATAAAGCCTGGGATATCCTCAAACACTGAGTTTGAAGATGAAGAAATTACCTGAAACTTCACCTCTTTCAAATCAAATAGTTATTGCTTTGTTCCCAGTAGCTTTCTTTTACTGCCTTATCTCCCCTTTATCTCTGCCTCCCTAGCAGGGGGTTATATGTCTATTCTAAGCTGACAGAATAATTTAATTCATGGTATAAATAACTCTTAGAATGATAAAGAGTATAGAGATATTGGAATGTTCTCATTTCACAAATAGAGGAGGAAAAAAAAAAAAAAAGCCCATGACATTAAATACTTCACCCAAGGTTACACCACCATTCTGTTTGAATCTATTCAGCAGTTATGTCTATTAGTTGAGAATTGACTCTGCACCTAACAATAGCGACAATAGTACCTACAAGTCAGAGTGGTATAGTTTTGTTCCTCTTTCAACTGTAGCATACCATATCCTGACTGAAAAGAGTGTCAGATCATGTTGTTGTTGTTGTTATTTGCCGTCAAGTCGGATGGGACTCATAACAACCCCTTCTTGAATTTCTGAGGGTGTATCACTACGGAAGTAGATTGCCTAACCTTCCTTCCCAGGAGTGGCTGGTGGGTTTGAACCACCAGCCTTCTGGTTAGCAGCCAAGTGCCTTAGGCACCACACTCCATAAACACAAGCACAAAAAGATGCAAGTTTTCTTAGAGGAGAGAATCTGCTGAGGTCACACAGTCTCTCCTGCTTGAGCTCACTGGTGAATGTATATACAGGCATGCTCATACTTAGAAAGGAAACTTAGGCTTCAGTTTTCATTTCTGTGTCAAACAAGAGGTCACCTATTCCAGAGAAACAAATGTTACTATCCCAAACACTGACCAATCAGCTTCCATAGAGTTGATTCCAAATTCCGGTGACCTCTTGTGTATCAGAGAGTAGCTGTGCTCCATAAGACTTTTTTTGTTTTGTTTTGATTAGACTTATTTTGTTGTTGTTGTTGTGAATATACACAGCAAAACACGCATTAAGTCGGAAGTTCCTGTACATACACCTCAGTGACATTGCTTATGTTCTTCAAGTTGTGGGAACATTCTCACCTCCTTTTCTGAGTTGCTCCTCCATCATTAACTTAAACGCATTGTCCTGTGTGGTTCCCATTTCATCTTTCAGTTGCTGTTGTTAATGTGACCCTACAGTTCTTAAAAGAGCATTATGTTCAAGGCTGACAGGTTTGTTTTTCAGCAGTTAAGGATTTTCAATAGCTTATATTTTTAAAGTAGATTGCCAGGCCTTTCTTCTAAAGTTCTTCTGAGCAGACCTGACGCTCCAACATTTGGTTAGCAGCTGAGTGTGCTAACTGTTTGCACAAAGTAGGCCCCTGAACACAGAAGTTCTTTTGAAATCAGGTTTAGGGCTTACAAAGAACAAGGACTAAGCAAATATGTAAGAGCCAATTGATAAATCTTAAAAAAAAAAAAAAAAAACAGCAATGAAGATGTAACTTTTGGTTTGATTTAGGGCATTGGATCTCTCTGGACTTTGTTTCCACATCTAAAGTGAATGAATGGACTGTTGTATGAAGGACAATGGTCAGAATATATACTCTTCAATTTCTCTGACTGTGCATGTCTAATAGCAGTGAGTACCTATTTTTCAGTTTCAACTACTACTATAATGCATTGTTTTTCTTCACTACAAATAATGCTATTGGTTCTCTTTATTTCTTCCAGACAATTTAATTGTCTCAAGAACTTGGGCTCCTGGACAAATTCCATGGAAAAAGTAAACAATGTAACTATATTCATTTTCTGGGGCCTTTCTCAGAACCCCAAGGTGCAAGAAATTTTTGTTGTGGTGTTTTCTTTTTTCTATGCAGCTATTCTTCTGGGAAACCTTCTCATCATGCTGACAGTGCACATGGGCAACCTTCTCAATTCTCCTATGTATTTCTTTCTCAACCTTTTGTCTTTTGTGGACATCTGTTTCTCCTCAGTTACAGCTCCCAAGATGATTGTTGACCTATTAAACAAGAGCAAAGCTATCTCCTACACAGGGTGCATGTTGCAACTCTTTGGGGTACATTTCTTTGGTAGTACTGAGATCTTCCTCCTTATTGTAATGGCCTATGACCGGTATGTGGCCATCTGTAAACCACTACACTATATGAGCATCATGAACCAGGGCAGATGCAATAGAATGTTGCTGGGAGCCTGGGTAGGTGGGCTCTTACATTCCATCATCCAGCTGTCTTTGGTGCTCCAGCTCCCCTTTTGTGGACCCAATGAGATTGATCACTACTTTTGTGATGTCCACCCTTTGCTGAAACTGGGCTGCTCAGACACATATATCGCTGGTGTTGTTGATACGGCCAATACTGGAACCATTACTCTGGGAGGCTTTGTTATCTTGTTATTCTCCTACACTGTCATCCTGGTGTCCTTAAGAAGGCAGTCAGCAGAAGGCAGGCGCAAAGCTCTCTCCACCTGTGGCTCCCACATTACTGTGGTCATCATTTTTTTTGGTCCTTGTACCTTCATGTACATGCGCCCTGATACTACCTTTGCTGAAGATAAGATGGTGGCTGTATTTTACACGATCATTGTCCCCATGTTAAATCCCCTGATTTATACACTGAGAAATACAAGAGTAAAAATTGCAATGAAGAACCTGTGGTGTAGGAAGGTTTTCCAGGAGGCCAATAACAAGTAGTTTGAAGTAACAGTACCTTAAAGTAGATTATTTTAATTCTTTCAATCTTGGTTAACACATCTATACAATGAAGACTGTAATACCAACTTTGTATGGTTGTTGCGAGAAACAAATGTTATTTTCTTCTTAGCATTGTCACCTATTTTCTTTAAAAAGTGAAAGTCTACTCAGGGTTAAGATCTGTGACTAGTACATATCATATGTTTTACTCAAAAAAATAAATAAATAAATAAATAAAAAGAGAATACAAGACAATTAGCAAGGATCTAAGCTAAAGACTGCTGATGTAAGTCCTCCCAAAACAAAGATTCTCATGAAAACTAATCCTGGAAAGCTTGGAATGGGAAGGGAAGTGTGCGTTGAATGTAAAAAAGGGATAAAATAAAATTATAAGAGACAAAAGATATGTTCTCCTCTTGTGGGAAAAAAAAACAAAAAAAAACATTCTATTTGTAATAAGACTCATGTTATTTGCCAAAGCATTAAAGATACTGGACAAGTTGACCACCTTTTAATTATAACAGCCAATGAATCTGTTGTTATTTACTGACTCTAATCTATACCTGGAATATATATAGCCACAATCTCTGTTCATGTGAAATGACTAACAGAAAAAGTTGAAGAAAGAGAATGAAAATAAAGCCACTTGTGACAAATAGATGACTGTGATTCAATCAGCAGGGTAAATGCAATTTTAGCATTGCAAATGCAATTTTTATTTATTTCCCTCATATTTTACTAAGCAATTGTACTTTATATAATGAATCATATTCTACTGATCCATTGCTTAACTAACCAGATTTCCACCAGTAAATTCCAGAAAGACTAATTCTCATTAAAAAATATAAAAAATGTCATATGAACTGATGTTTTTCTCCTTCACCTTAGGATGCAAGTTTGACTTTTTGTTTTTGTTTTTTTTCTGATACTGGTGAACAGATCACTAATTAACTCTTTGTCATTGTTCCATTTCCTCTTCCACAATTCTGATTATTCACTTATCATGTACATCTCATATCTGTTTGTGATGCAGGTTGTGTGTGTGTGTGTAAACATTTCTCACACTAAGATCTGAATATAATTAGTGCTTAAAAATGCTTGCTTTTGTTGTTACAGTCACAGAATTAAAGAGAAAAAAAAATCAACACGCAGTAAGACATCTGACTTAGAAGTTATAATCAAGAAACTCCTGCCCTGGGACCATGTAAATCCATGGTTATTATTCCAGGTTGCCCATATACTCACTAGGTCTCTGTGGGCCTCCATTTTCTCAATTTTAATATGAGGTCTAGGTGACTGCTTCTCAAGCTCGGCAGATCATTGGGATCATCTTGAGAGATGTATAAACAGATCATAGAAACAGTTCCAAGAGATTCTTATTCAGTATGTGAGGGTTAAGTGAAATATAAAAATCTATATGTATAAGATGTTCCTCTGGTAATTTTTGTGTAGTCAGGGAACCTGCATTTGGAATCACCGGGGCTAGATGACACTTGAGGCTGTTAGAGCTAAAGAGATGTGTAAGTCAATGAATCAAAAGATTCTGCTTTTATGTATAATTCCCCATCTGTTGTCATAACCATCATTAAGGGAACTACAACGTCTCTGAATTTAGAAAAGTCTGAAATAAATCAATGTTATCCATCTGATGATTTTCCCACAAGACTTTCTTCCTCATTCCTTTACAATAAATGTTTGGGATAAGAGTAATACATGCAGGTGTAAGGCCCCTCAGAAGGAAGAAGTAGCCAGGTTCATGATTTTCTAAGGCTGGGAAGAGAAACATTTTGAAAGAATACACAAATTTCCACCTGTGCCTTTTTAAACTCACCCTTGTTCATAAAATTTTCTCAGAGTCAGTCCTTACCAGAGGAACTCAGAGAATCTCCTCTTGGTTCCTTGGAAGGAAATAACCAAAACTAAGGAGAACTTACACTCTCCAGTTTTGGTGGGGCAAGGCAGGTCAGAAATAGCATTTTATTCCATAGATTTATCATCAAAAGATTTTTATGTTTGTAACAGCTTTATAACCATGCTCTGTCACAAGACAGGAGATGAGACTTTGTGGCATTTTATTTGTCGACCTTGGGCTTGTTAGCCTCAGCAGCCAATAGTTGCTGCTTGAAGAGATGCCTCTAGCTTCAGTGGGCCAAGAGCAAGAAGCAGAGCTGAAGCCCAAGGTCAAGGGGCTTTCATCCAGCCCCTAGAGCCTGGCTCTTTGAATTCGGACTTGTAGCCTCCCGAACGGTAAGAGAATAAACTGCTGTTTGTTCAAGCCATCCCATTTGTGGTATATTCTTGTCAGAACAGCACTGGGTAGCGAGAACAGTGACCAATGCAGCAGGGACAGAGAGCTGTGTTTTACCAAAAGTCACAAGCCATGAAGAAGGAAGACCCGTTTGCCTCCTTTTGTACTTCACTTCTCTGATTCACTTTCAAAGAAGGGAATCCGATGCTATCCAGGGTCATTTCAACTCAGACATTCTGAAATGTATTGTATTCTTCATTACTCCAGGCAAAGTAGACATTTATTGTCTGCAATCTGTAGAGACTTCATGGCTTGGAAGTTGTCCCCTACTAGAAATAGTTCCTAGGTAATTCAGTTATTTGAGCTTTTCATTATAATAACAAATAAGGCATGCCAACAAATGTTAGAAGTATTGTATATTTTAAGTCTTTACATTGAACAAATAATGCAATGCAATATGATTATACTACTCACACTATATCACAATTCTGAAGTTTTTGTGACTCATTCTGTTTCACACATGGGTCAATATGAGTTGGAGCTGACTACATGATAACTAAGGAGCTCCAGTGGTGCAGTGCCTAAGGCATTTGACTGCTAACCAGAAGGTTGGCAGTTCAAACTCACCAGCTGCTCACTGAAGGAAGACTGGGTAATATACTTCCCTAAAGATTTATTGCCTTGGAAATCCTATGAGGGTCACTATGAGTAGGGATCAACTCAGTGGCAGTGGCCTTTTTTTTTTTTTTTAACATGATAACAACAGTAGCAACTCTATACATGGTAGAGTCTAGCAATAAGTCTCTAGTTGATTGATGAACATCTTTTCATTTTCTTTTAAAAATTTTTAAAATATATTTATATGACTTATTTAGCAACCCTGGTGGTATAATGGTTAAATGCTCAGTTATTAAGCGAAGGTTGGTGGTTTGAACCCACCAATGGCTCACTGGGAGAAAGACCTGTTGGTCCGCTCCCATAAAGAGTACAGTATAAGAAAGTGACAGCCAACATAGTGGTTCTACTGTGTTACATGGGGTCACCATGAGTCAAACATTGAGTTCATGGTACACAGAATCAACAACGTGTTATTTATAACCTCCTTGTAAATGTGTCCATGAGTATCCATATTGATAGTCTACAAAGTGCAGCATGGAAAATCTGATACACTGTGAATAACCCTGAGTTTAAGACGGCACATAGATGAAGAGACGGGTCTTCCTCCTATGTAACTTGGTAAAGAGCACTGCCTTATGCAAATAGAAACTTTTGAGGTTTTGTTGAACTATTTATACTATATAAAACTGTCTTCCCACTACTTAAGCAGGCCATAAAACTGGGAAGAATAAAGATTAGAATAAGAAATAAATAGGACCAACTGATGACTGGAGCATAGTCCAAGATCATTGTTGCTACAATGTGGCATTTCCTTCCTCTGCAGATGATTCCCTGAGCTTCGAGAACTGGAAGAGAATCCCCAAGACCATCTGCTGTCATCCATTATTACCAAAATACACAGGGAGCCAGATTTGAGAATGGTAAAATTTACTAAGTTTCCAAATATGAGAGAATCAGAAGTGATATTTTCAGTTTTTCCTTCTTCTAAACCACAGATTCCACTAAGACAATGAATTATATACACTTAAGGAATTATCTTTCCATGTGTCACAGAAATCTAGGTTTTCAGATGAGGTACATTTACAAAAATTAGCTGCAGGTTGAAGGAAGATTCATCAACAGATTTTCTCTTTCTAAATTTCTACATGTGCACTGCCTAAAAAAATCAGGATGCTTAGGATCCTTAGATGAGGAAGAGAAACAACAAATTATATTGAAAAAGAGACATGAAAGACCATAAAAGACCAACTCAGGGTCTGGTTTTGAAGTCTGTATGATGGTTATTAACTTCAAACAGAAGCATGAACTCTTCTTTGGTCTTCTTTGGTCTTCTTTATTCATTGTCCAGCTCTCGCATGGATATGAGGCAATTGAAAATGTCATGGCTTGTGTCAGGTGTACCTTAGTCTTCAGTGAAACATCTTTGCTCCTCAGCACTTGAAAGAGGGCCTTTGCAGCTGATTGGCCCACTATACATTGCCTGACGTCCTGACAGCTGCTTAAATTGGTGTACATTGTAGAACCAAGCAATGTGAAGTCTTTGACTTCCTCAATCTTTTCTCCATTTATCATAATGCCGCTTATAGGTCCAGTTGTGAGGATTTTTGTTTTCTTTATATTGAGATGTAATCCATACTGCAGACTGTATTCTTCAATCTTCATCAGTAAGTGCTTCAAGTCAACCTCACTTTCAGCAAGCAAAGTTGTGTCATCATCGTATCACAGGTTGTTAATGATTCTTCCTCCAATCTTGACACCATATTCTTCTTCAGATAGTCCAGCTTCTTGGATTATTTGCCCAACATACAGATTGAATAAGTATGGTGAAAGGATACAACCCTGACACACTCTTCTTGATTTTAACCCATGCAGTGTCCCTTTGTTCTGTTCAAACAACAGCCTCCTGGCATATGTACAGATTCCACATGAGTACAATTAAGTGTTCTGGAATTTCCATTCTTCTCAATGTTAGCCACAATTTGTTATGATCCACATAATCAAATACTTTTGCATAGTCAATAAAACACAAGTAAAAATCTTTCTGGTGTTCTTTGCTTTGAGCCAAGGTCCATATGACATCAGCAATGATATTCCTTGTTCCACATCCTGTTCTGAATCCATCTTGCACCTCTGG